TTGTAGGGAGAGGAGATGGACAAAAATTATTTCCGAAAGCAAATGGCAAGACACTTATTCACATCAAAGGCTTGGTTGTTTACTATCAGTCCTGCTGCTGTGCAACAAAGTATATTGGACACTTCTGTCCGGAGTACTAAGGTGAATCTAAGCATGAATCTAAGCGAGCCGACATTTACTTGCAGTAGATTGTTACAGACTGGCAGCCCTGTAATGGACGATGATACACTTTTTGTATGGAAATTATAGGTGAAAGCCTTTCTGTGGAAAGCAGAATTATCAACTGCTGCTTACGGAGCAGCATAACTACATAGTGGAAGCACCACACAAGCCATTTCATTTTTTACGAAATCACTTAATGTCCAGCCTCTGTTCATATCCAAACTTGTCACTTCTGCTTTCTCCTGTGAACCATTAAATCGATCAACGTAAAATTGTAAAAATTATCTTCTGTATGTCCAACATAATTATGGGGTCGCGTTATAAATAACCAACCTCTGACATTAAACAAACAGGCTATAGCTGCCAGTCCAACATTGATTTCCTCACTCGACTGAACGTTCATTTATAATGGAATTTCTAAGCAGTGACACAATCAGGCAATTTCAAGGAACTGCCTATAACATCTGACATGGGATACAGAACTGAGCCCCTTGTCCGCTTTCAAATAACCAACAATTCAAACTTGTTTAGACGGTCACAATAATGCTCCGATATCTACTTAACTCTCTCATCAACAACACGTCAACGCAGAATAAACTCACTTGGTGAACACAAGGACGAACAACAATGATGACCCCGTAGCAACTGTTCATGTGCGCATGAGTTTAGTAAAAATTTGATTATAACGGAAATTCATCGTTACCTATGGTTCCATGCTCTCCTCACTGCTTACCCATGTGCTCATTATCAGTTACACTCCTGTCCACATGAATGTGAATCCAACTACTTCAACCTCACGTTGGAGATGATCTAATTATTACATCTACGCTTTCAGTCACAACCGTTTGTGCCTAACGCTTAAGCTTTCCGATCGTCACAATGTGCAATATTGATGGGTCTCGATGAGGGTGAAATTTGATTGCACTGCTGCTATTGGACAAAATCCGGCCGATATAATCCTCATTAGAAAGAATTCTTCAAAGAGTAAGTGTTTGATAGCGTGGTGTACAGCATTAATTGGAAATCGGTTCAGCATAGCAACACTGACACGTGCGCGTTGGTCTCATTGTTTGTGTCTGATTTCTGCAAAACTGTGCTAGTGGTATCATAGTGTTAGGTCGTACTACTTTCAGTGCGACAGGGCGAGTCTTATGACCTACTCGTCCCCTGTCCCATTGTACATCGTCGTAGTGACAGATGACCGGTGTAGTAATCATCGACAATTCGAGAAGTAACGGAAACATTTTTTAAAATCTTTTTCACGGTGAGTTTCAGTGTTCCCATTTTATTAACTTAGATTTAATTACTAAACTCATAAAAGTGCTTGTAGAATATGTCAAGATTCACGGCTATACGCAGTCTATCGGGGCGGCTGTAAACCTCTTGATTCAGGACAGAGCAAGACGGAATGTTGAAGGTTTACTCA